AAAATTTAACTAAATTAAATTTTAGGTTTTACACTAATATCTCTTGGAATAGAGTTTAAGTGTTTGATTTTCATTAACTTAATATTTTTTTATTTAACACTCAAAAAACCAGAAACTCTTTGACTATAGACTTTACAAAGACAAGAGTAAAAAACTTACTTGATTGTTGAAAGATTTTTTCACTTTTACAAAAGCTAAGAGTAGAGGGGCAATTTGTAACCATTTAAACTTCATCAGTTCAGTCAGATCCAACACCCCTGAATCAGGAACAAGGTCTATCGCACCCATCTTAGGGGTGCATTTGTCTCCAGTAGCAACTGAGGGCCTTAGCTCAGAAGATGCTTCTGAATGTGGTTGGTTGGGGGCTTAGTTTTCATATCCCTGCGGGTAGCTTCGTAAGCAGTCTTGTAGTCCTCTGATATCCGGCAAAACATGCATACAAAAGCTCTTGAGAGCATGATATAAGCTCTTGAGACCACGATAAATATTCCATTGTCATTTTGTGCATCCCTAAAATTGTCCCCACTTCATTAGAAAACAAATCCATTGGCTGCTCTACGGTCTGCACACTCATGCGAGGCCTAAATCGCGGGACATTCGACACTTCTGCCAAGATATCAGATATCTACTAAAGGAAGAACCTGTGTTGGAAAATGTTTTGAATATATATGTTCGTTTGTGAATTCTGATCAATTGATGTGCAGGGGTAGCTTGAAATGGTAGAACATAAGTTTATATAGGATTCTTTGTCTTTAGTTACCAATTATTATCTCTCTAATAAATCGATGGTGTGCGAATTGAAGAAGTATATTGAATGATCAGATAGGGTCACATAGAGAATACAGGGTTCTTTCGCACTCGCTTGGCCCACGGTGGTATGCGGGTCAAACAGTATTCTGATATTTTTTCAGCTCACATCATGGTTCCTTCTTCTCTCTGGTTCTATATTGACTGTCTAGCCTGCTTTTTGCAGATTGCCAAATTCAGTGCAAATTCAAAGATAGTAATATTTGACAATATAAACACTTTTGGGAATAAAAAAGATATATTCTAGTATATGAAAACAACTCATATTATCAGATATTCAGCGTGTCGGTTTTACAATTTATTATTATTATTATTTTTTCAGCGAGTCAACACATCTTATATGTTTCTATTGAAAGTGCATTAACCCTATCCCTGCTGGGGTACTTGAAAACCAAGATACGCTGGGGGGGGGGTCAATTTGACCCCCCCTCTAAATACCATGTTTAATGTCCATATATGACAAATGATACATCATTGGAATCTGCAAAAAAAATGCAAATTTGCAAAAATTGAATTTTTTATTGCAAAATCTAGATATATAGTAAAAATGTTTGCAAAAAAANTAAAAAGATTTGGGAATTACAAATTGGTGTTTTTGCCGATGAATCATCAGCTGTTTAGTTTTAAACCATCAACAGAATCTCTTTTATACTGTTATACACAAATGAAAATAATGCAAAACTAGAGTAAAATGCAACCAAGAAAAGCTTCTATATAAGTTCTAAATATTTTTGGTTCATAATAAAACTTCTGCTTGGTTTGGCACCTATTTTTTGCAGAATCTTTCCTACTTTCTAAAAGGTTTTACGTCGATATGTTTAAGGATATTACTCGATATAAAGCAATATTTATTAATACTTATTTTGACTCAAACTCTTGAAATAATGAATTTAGAAAAAATATGCCGGTTTAAGAAAGTTTTAGATATGATATTTTCAATCATCCAGAACAAAAAGTTTTATCAAAAATTAAACTTTATAATTTGTATAGGAGTTTTTTAAAAATATGCAAAGAAATCATGTATGACACCCGTAGGCTTAGTATGCCAATATAATTCACCAAAACCATACTGCAGTCCTTCATGTATCATACAGGGAAATTTTCATCTTTCGAAACATCCAAGGGAAAGATTTTACATGTTCTTTCAAAATTAGAAATTATATTCATACACTTAAAATGTACACTTTATGCTGATTTATAATGTGAAGAAGTAATTAACTATACATTAAACTCTCATTAGTTGCAAGTATCAGAATCTTACCAATTAACTTACGTAAACTAAGCTGTATCGATGGAGCTAATGTTAAAACAATTGATTTTCACTGTCTGTCGCTCAGCAAAACTTGATTGATCCTTAAATATGAGAAATACTTTCACTTAATTTACTATTTACATTCTCTGCCCAATCAAAACTGTTGGTGTCGTGTGTCCACAGTCCACAGTCTACTGCAACAGAACTATTCATAAACAATGGTTGATGAAAATTTTCAGAGATATAAACGATACATAGCGTCCTAATTATCGTAGGTTTTAAGTAACAACTTATATAGTCTTTCAACGCGGCATTATTTTGTAAACACAATTTTAGTAATAATAGTCTAGTTAGACATTGACGACAATAAAATAGCTACTCTCTGGATTTATAAAATGTAGTCTACCATTTTCCTTTAAACTTAACAGATATTGACAGAATTTTCCAGATTACAATTTATAGAAAAACAACTTGTGTAATTAAATATTTTTCGCGGATTTAAATGTTCGGTCCTTGATCCCGAGAGAGCTGTGACTTTCATCACAATTTTTGTCTTTTCTCTTTTATACTTTTTTGTTGGCATAAGCGTTTCAATCGCAAAACTTTAACAAGATAACTGCGTAAGTTTAAAGATTGTAAATCTATAGACCAATATGTGATTGAATTTAAATAGGTGAAACTGAATGCATCTCGCCCTGGTTAGTCCGGGGTGATATACCATTTTTAAGGAAGAAGGCCACAATTTAGAAAGCTCATAATTCGTACAATCTGCATTTGATATGTTATCGAAATTACATTATGATTTTATATCTACTATAAATTAGAAATCATACCTTTTTCACTATCTTTTAAATATGAGTAAATGGAGTTTTATAATTTTCTAAATACAAAAATTAAATTCAATATTAACATACAAAATAACATTTATTTCTTATTTAAGTTTAAATTAACAAATGCGTATTCACAATGGTTGCAGTTTTATAGGAACTAAATAACAGGAATATGGAGGAGGGGTTGACCTGGTCCGCCTCACCATATGATTATACATGCTAAACAGAACGGTACTCCATTTGGAAAAGAGATTTTTAAATGTCGTTTTTTCATTTTTAAATAATAAATAATAAATATTAAATTTGTGTCTAGAAGTACAAGAGCTAGATAGTTAGATTTCTAGGAGTATAAGAGCTACGTAGTTAGGTATCTAGGCCAGTACAAGAGCTAGATAGTTAGATTTCTAGGAGTATAAGAGCTACGTAGTTAGGTATCTAGGCCAGTACAAGAGCTAGATAGTTAGGTTTCTAGGAGTTAAAAGCGCTATCTAGATAGTTAGGTATCTAGTTGTACAAGAGCTGGATAGTTAGGTATCTAAGAGAACAAGAGTTTAAAATGTAGATGATTAGGCATGAATCTGAAGAGATAGATATTTAACTATATGATCAAGGAACTGGAATAGTAGACTTGGAGATAAGGTTTCCAATCAAAATGTTTTGCACGAAAATTGTGCAATAATTTGCTTACATTTTGAGTAAAAATTACATGAAATTTCAATATAATTTCGAAATGATGCGCAAAAGCTATTTCGTTAATCCTGCTATTTCGTCATTTCGATATATCTCGTTACTTTAAGCTATTTCGTATGTCCAATCAGAGCCCCACTATGCTCAGGCCCGCTCTCATCCGCATCATCTGCACCTTACAACAATTTGGTAAAGTCAACGGAGCTAAGTATCTAACAGACATTCAAACATGAAAAATGTTTACATATCTATCTATAATATAGATTAATACATAGATGAGGCGCAAATCCAGTGGGACCTTTGGCTCTTTAGCGTTTTTTCAAAACATATTTATCATAACAAATTTTAAGAAAAGTAGGTAACCAATATTTTTACCATGTCTAAACTTTAGAAAATAATAATAATGTAATTATTGTTCATGACTAAAATACTGCAGATATGGAAGTTGTTGTTTACTAAAACTTTTTCACATCATGATGTCCAAATATCTAATTCTTTTATATTTGTGCAATATGTTATGAAACAAATATTACTTATTTTTGTATTCAAACGCAAAATCATACAAAAATTATGACTTTTATTATGTATTCATACGCAATTTCGTGCAAAAAAAATTATTTCGAATGAATGCGCAATTTCGTGCAAACCTGGTTTCGTATTGATACGCAAATTATGCGAAATTTCGTGCAAAAAAGTCATTTCGTGAAAAAACACGAAACTGTTGCGCAAGAGAATCTACTGTTTCGTGAAAACCCTATTTGGAGAGGTGGTTAACAATTACATATGGAGATGGGAAAACTGGAGGATTTGAAGTGGTTAACTTACAGACAGGGAAAACAGAAGAAATTGTTAGCTATTAACTGAGAGCTGTCTGCATGGAAGATTGGAGAGGAGTGGGAGAACCGGAGAGTTTAATAGCTAGGGAGCTAAAGACTGTATTGGTTAGGAATCTTGACAGTATAATAGCTAGGGAGCTGGAGTTCTGAGCGACAGCTAGGGAGCCTTTAGGTTCAGGTTCTTGCAGGCAAACTCTTGGAACTCATTCACAGTCTGAGTTTTCACAGTACACACCAGACATAATCTAAACATTACAGAGTACAAACCAGACATAATCTAAACATTACAGAGTACAAACCAGACATAATCTAAACATTACAGAGTACAAACCAGACAAAATCTAAACAGTACAGAGTACACACCAGACATAATCTAAACATTACAGAGTACAAACCAGACATAATCTAAACAGTACATATTACACACCAGACATAACCTAAACATTACACAGCACAAAACAGACATAATTTTTACATTACAGAGTACAAACCAGACATAATCTAAACATTACAGAGTACACACCAGACATGATCTAAACATTACAGAGTACACACCAGACATAATCTAAACATTACAGAGTACAAACCAGACATAACCTAAACAGTACATATTACACACCAGATATAATCTAAACATTTCAGAGTGCACACCAGTCATAATCTAAACAGTACATATTATACTCCAGACATAATCTAAACAGTACATATTATACTCCAGACATAATCTAAACAGTACATATTATACTCCAGACATAATTTAAACAGTACATATTATACTTCAGACATAATCTAAACAGTACATATTATACTCCAGACATAATCTAAACATTACAGAATACACACCAGACATAATCTAAACAGTACATATCATACTCCAGACATAATCTAAACAGTACATATTATACTCCAGAAATAATCTAAACATTACAGAGTGCACACCAGTCATAATCTAAACAGTACATATTATACTCCAGACATAATTTAAACATTACAGAGTGCACACCATTCATAATCTAAACAGTACATATTACACACCAGACATAATCTAAACAGTACAGAGTACACACCAGACATAATCTAAACAGTGCAGAGTACACACCAGACATAAATTAAACAGTATAGAGTACATACCAGAAATAATTTTAACAGTACAGAGTACATATCAACATAATCTGTACAGAGTGTTTAGATTATGTTGATATGTATGTTCTACATCTATTTTATATATATATTTATCTATGTTTATTAATCTATAGTTGATGCACGTAATTCATATAACATGCATATTATGTAAAATATTGCATATTATTTAGTTTATATAATATTTCTAGTATTTCTAGTATTTCTGGTGGTTCTGGAATTTTTCAGCTTTTTGTTGTTGACTTTTGTAAGTTTGGAAATTATAGCAATAAAAAAGTACGCAAAATTTTCTCTTTAGTTGTTAGATTTTTTAAATCAAAATTTTAATAATTTTATTTATAGACAAGCCAAGTATATTCATAAGCCTTCTTCATATTAAAAAACTGCCTAGCTAAGTGAAATTTTCTATTTTTCTTTAACATTGTTGCTGTGGAAAGGGATAGAATTAAATTTGGAAAATTCCTAAATCTGGTTTTGATTTGTGAGAAGGTTTTACAAAAATAAATTAACCCCCCCCCCCCTCCTCTATAAAAAAATATCGCAAAACGCCCCCCTAGTGCCTTTAGTTTCTTGTAATAATAAATTCTATATGTTACATGTAAGAATAGTTTACATAAGTTTGAGGGGAATTAACGAATTAACGAAGGAAACAAGTTGTAACTTAATTTAAAAACAAATAATGTGATAAAGTTATAAAACATGAGTAAGAAATTATCCCACGGGGGGGGAGGGCTTGTATCCTGTTTTTATATTCATTTATACTAAGGTTTTTATACCTGTTAGGAATTTTATCAACATCAGTTGAGATTAGTCTTGCGAGGAGTTTTCTGTGGTTTGGGTTATTAAACAGCTGACGAACCTAGGAATATTAAACAGCTGACGAACCTAGAAATATTAAAACAGCTGACAAACCTAGAAATATTAAACAGCTGACGAACCTAGAAATATTAAACAGCTGACGAACCTAGAAATATTAAACAGCTGACGAACCTAGGAATATTAAACAGCTGACGAACCTAGGAATATTAAACAGCTGACGAACCTAGGAATATTAAACAGCTGACGAACCTAAAAATATTAAATAGTTGAAGAACCTAGAAATATTAAACAGCTAACGAACCCAGAAATATCAAAAAGAAAAATCTATAAATTTAAGAAAAAGTATTGAAGTCGAGTGTTAGCTCTTATTTGTGGCAACCCTAGCGGTACAGCTAGTGTACAGGGTGTCCCAATAAACATGGGAATCCAGTGACGAATTCGATATTGTCTTTTTAACTAATTCTTTGATTTAGTATAGCGATACCTATTGAGAAAGATTTTCGTCTGCTATGTATGTTTACAATTTGTTTCTTTATGTTTTGACTGCATAAGGGTATACTTAGTAAAGCAAAAAATTACAGTATACAAACAGGGTAAACTTGTCCTTATTCACAGTTCATCTTGCACAGACATTATAGACACATCTTTACAGCCATTTACCCTTGTCATAAAATAAACTCTAGCAGACATAATAATATTATGGTTTTAGAAATCAGGTATAATACAATACTAATTCATAACAAAGATATCAAACTCGTCACTGAATTCCCAAGGAGTTTTTTACAAGGAAGTTTTTTAATGGATCTGTCGCAAGAAAAGGATTCTTTCTTGGGACTTTCATAATTTGATGTGTATGCTTTTGTGGATTTTTAGGTATTTGAACTCTGTATCTTTTAAGAAAACTTTAAAACAAATTTTTAGTTTTCAATGCATTTTCTTGAATTAAAAACTTTGTAAAAAGTTCTTACTAAGGTTTAGCTGGAACTTTGATTGTAACACAAATTGAATTTGGCAGCGAATAATTTTATCTCAGAAAATCTTTCCATTTTAATGGCTTAAGACGAAAAATTCAGAAATTTTGAATTAATTTTGTATAATAATGCTTCTTGTTAAAAGTATCTGTAAATCTTCTCAGTTCATGAACTAATCTAAATGTATATTCTATAAATTGTATTTGTATACAGTAAAACAGATTTGCCAGGAGCTTAAAGTTCTCGACAACAATGAGTAATTGGAGATATTTAACTATAAAACAATATTTAAAGCAGCTTCTTAGTTTTCATATTTATTAATACAAATCGTCTGGGATTATTGCTCCTCTTCAGTTAATAAACATGGTTAAACTGATGATTTACAATAATATTCTGCTCTAATTATTGCTTTATATAGTTTGTATAAATTGTATATACAAAATTGTATTTCAAGGTTTGCTGTCATTATATTAAGCAAAACTCTTTCATAAAATATATAAACAAACAGACTTTTTTTTAATCAATGATTTACTTTTTTAGTCTTAACGATAAATAAATATGTAAAAATAATTCACAATCTCTACAATAGATATGTAAAAATTATTCACAATCTCTACAATAAATATGTAAAAATTATTCTGTAAATAACAGCTCTCATATTTTCTTTTTGTTTTAAAATTAAATTAAAGACCACATTTGAATAACCATTTACGCCATTTTTACCTATAATATTACTTTTTTGTTATTTGTTTTAACCTGATATATCCTTGTGTTACAATAAATATATTTTCACAATGTGTTTGCTGATATACTATAAACATTAATATAATTATATCCAATATTACATGTACGTACACTGTACACTGTACAGGGTGTACAGTGTACGTACACTGTACACTGTACACTGTACAGGGTGTACAACAAAACATGATAATTTAAAGACATCCAAAATCTATGCTGATTATGCAGCAAGTACTTCAGCTGGGAAAACTGTTATTAAAACCGTTATACGAAAATCTTTAAGATAAACCCTGTTTATGATTGGTTGCAGAAGCGGTTTCAGGGGGGGGGGCTCAAATAGTTCCAGGGGGGCTCAAATTGTTCCAGGGAGGGGGGGCCGAACCCCAAAAAAGTGTTTAGTAATATATATGTATATGTTTACATAACATATACAGGTTACCCACAAAGGACTGTAAGGATGTGACCGGGAACTCTAAATTACGACTTTAAAGTCCAATGTTTATAAATCACATATGTTTTTAGATTATGAATAGGAAGTGGATACTACTTTGACGTATCAGGATTGCTCATGGGAACTAGTTCTATACAGTGAGAATCAGAAAACTGTAATAGAATGTCGACATTATACTCCAGTTTATTTGATGTTGTTACAAAGCAAATAGTTTTAATAGTAATTTATTAAATCACTTATTTATACAAATAGGTCTGTTTACACTGCACAATTGCTGTGTCTCATGTTCATTGAACTTATTAAAGTTAAGTCAAAAAGTCGTCTCAAAGTTCTTATTGTATTATAATGATAATAATAATAATTAGTTTATTAATTGGTTTATTTTATATAATTTACAATATATGTAAACAATAACAAAACTTGTAAAACTAGGAGTGCTGGGCCTGAGCTATTCTTTTCTAAATATGTTGTTTGTTTACAATAAAACTAGTACTATAAAGCTGTCCTATTACGTCACAATAGTATGTAAACAAACCTCTATTTAATTCTCTCCTTGTTTTAAACCCCAGATTGACCAAAAATAGAAGAAACGGTTCAAAAATGCTTTAAATATAATTGTTTGATTAATTTTACAAAAAAATCTAAAGTACCTTGGCACTACATAATCCACACTCCAGCCAGACTATACTATCATTACTCATCCTGTATTTAGAACAATTTAGAAATAAAAAAGTAGGCCATTAAATTAATTAAATTAAATTAAATGAAGACGACGTTTCTAATTACGTTTTGATTCCTAACAAGCTATTTTTAAATTACAAGTTTAGAAGCAAACATAGAGAAGCTGGTAATTGACATCTTTTCTTTGTTTTCATGTTTATGTGTATCCACGCGCGCTCTTTGAAAGTTTGCTAGAAATCAAACTCGAGATCGAAAACCGTCTTCATTCTATTAATATACACGCCGACGACTGTACTAAAATCAAAATCTTTTTTAATTATTGTTATTGTTATTTAATCATTAACTATGTAAATAATCAAAAAATAAGTTTTTATTGCTGTCTTCTTTATTGGAGTAATTAATAATTTTAAAAGGAATTGACAATCACAATTTCTAACTTGATTTTCAAGATATCTTTGCAACTTGATGGTGTAAGCGATATTTCAAATTTTGAAGAAAGAAAAACGAATAATTACGACGGAATATAAGAAGGAATAAACAACGGAATATAAGAAGGAATAAACAACGGAATATAAGAGGGAATAAACAACGGAATATAAGAAGGAATAAACAACGGAATATAAGAAGGAATAAACAACGGAATATAAGAAGGAATAAACAACGGATGTTATGTAAAAATTTAGTTTAGATTCTAAGATGAAAAATAAATTGAAAATGTTTATCAACATTATATTTTGTTTTACAGCAGACTAAGCGCCAATTAGGATCCAAAAAATATAAATTTTGTTTTTAAAAATCAAATCATAATAAGAAATCTACAATATACAATATACAAGGTGTAGTGTAAGGCGAGAAAAAAACTAATTTTTGCAAAATTTGGCATACCATTAAATTTTATTCACAAAAGGCGATCTTTGCCAAAACATATTCGCTAAAAACTTTGCATGCAAGGACGGCTGGATAGTATAGCAGCATGGTAGATAGTAGGATAGTAGGATAGTAGAATTATAGGATAGTAGGATAGTGGAATTGTAGGATAGTAGATAGTAGGGTAGTAGGATAGTAGGATAGTAGGATAATAGGATAGTAGGATATTAGGGTAGTAGGATAGTAGGATAGTAGGATAGTAGGATAGTAGGATAGTAGGATAGTAGGATAGTAGGATAGTAGGATAGTAGGATAGTAGGATAGTAGGATAATAGGATAGTAGGATAGTAGGATAGCAGGATAGTAGGATAGTAGGATAGTAGAATAGGATAATAGGATAGTAGAATAGGATAATATTGATATCATATATATATATTCCTGTCCCTTGAGATGGGTGTATCTCATGTGTATCTACTTTATACTATATATTAAGGTAATATTATGTTATGTATTGCATCTATTTATAAATTTTAGCTTGGGTGTTTGTTTGTATTTTATAATCGTCAAAATGGCAGGACCGACTGGGACCAAAAAGACCTTAAAATATGTTTATTCTCAAAAGGGGTATATATTTTTGGACACTGTGTTTCTAATACACTCCAACTATGCTAATACAATAATACTCATTACACACTAATAATATACTTCTATAATATATCTATTAGGTTTCTGGGATTACAGGGTAGTAGAGAAGGGATTAGAAGATAGATGATGTGTGGTTCATTATACACTAGCAAGGATTAGGATGAAGGGAAAGAGGGTTAAAGAATATAAGGATAGAGGGTGGAGGGATTAAAAAATAGGGGTAAAGGATGAAGGGTAAAGGGAATAAAGGATTGAGAGTGAAGGGATTAATAGATAGAGGTGAAGGGATTAATAGATAGAGGATAATGGAATTAAAAGATTAGAGGATAAAGGGATTAAAGGATAGAGGGTGAAGGGATTAAAGGATAGAAAGTTAAGGGATTAAAGGATAAAGGTGAAGGGATTAAAGGATAGAGGGTGAAGGGTTTAAAGGATAAAGGGTGAATGAATTAAAGGATGATGGGATTAAAAGATTATAGGGAAAAGGGATTAAAAGAAAAAGGGTAAGGGGACAAGAGGATAAAGGGTAGAGAGATTAAAGGATAGAGGGTGAAGGGATTTAAGGATAGAGGGTGAAGGGATTAAAGGATAGAGGGTGAAGGGATTAAAGGATAGAGGTTGAATGAATTGAAGGATAGAGGGTGAAGGGATTAAAGTATAGAGGGTGAAGGGATTTAAGGATAGAGGGTAAATGGATTAAAGGATAGACGGTGAAGGGATTAAAGGATAGAGTGTGAATGAATTGAAGGATAGAAGGTGAAGGGATTAAAGTATAGAGGGTGAAGGGATTAAAGTATAGAGGGTGAAGGGATTAAAGGATAGAGGGTGAAGGGATTAAAGGATAGAGGTTGAAGGGATTATAGGATAGAGGGTTAATGGATTAAAGGGATTTTAGAATAAAGGGTTTTTAAGAGAATAGATTAAAGAATAAGAAGCTTTTTATAGAAATGATGGGATTAGAAAAATAAAAAAATTATTTAGATTAAGATTTATTTTGAGTGTTGAAAAAATCATGAAAACTTAATTTTAAATTCGTAAATTAGTTTTTTTTTCACCTGAAAGCTGTATTTTCTTGTCTCTCTCTCTCTGTCCACTAGTTTACAAGATTTGTAAAGTTTATTCTTAAAACCAATTTTGAACTAGATTTCTCCAATATACTCTGAAACACAGAAGTTGCTATTAGTTTTAGTTAGAGAAAACAGCTTCCAATATTTATACTTTTGTTTTGCTTAACCTCAAACATGACAACCATGAGGAGTACAGGGTTACCCACAAAGAATGAGATTGTAAAGACGACCTGAAACATTTAAATATGACGATTTTATGTTAATTCTTTAACGTCTATTTATCCTTTAAAGGGTATGTTTAGTGATAAAGCCAAAAAGACATGTGAGGCTGCAGGCAAGAACCATGAGTGTGAAAACCAAGACTAAAAATCAGTTCTGTCGTCTGTGAAGTGTCCTTGAGGTTTTCTCATGGGGGAGGCGACCCCCCCCCCCCCTTGAAATTTGTGGCAAAAATGTTCCTAATTTGATCAAATAATGTTCTCAATTTGATTTATCGTATATACAAGAGAAAATGAATGATAAATGTAGATATTTTTACAAAATTATATAGACTTATTTTTTCAAGTTAGGTAAAAATATTTGTTTTTGCATAATTTAGTTTCTTACCAGAACTTATAAATAATGCAATAGTTAGATTTACAAGCAATGTTTTTTCTACTGAAGTATTTTATTTTTCCTCCAAACACTCTTTATAATTTCTATAAATTGGATAGCTATGACTTTTATATTCCTTCATTGTTTTCGAAGGAAAAAAATCATTACAATTTTTTATTTTGTTTTATTTCCACACATCAACTTGATTTCTTCTGTTAGTTAGTTTGGATCAGAAGAGCCAAATATGATAAAAAATATGAGTTTTAAAGTCAGAAACTATCTTTATTCTTTATGTCCGCACACAAAAATTAATAGATAGGTTGATGATTAATAGCTAGATAGATTGATAGCTAGCTAGATAGATAGATTGAAAGCTAGCTAGATAGATTGATTGACAGCTTTTTAGATAGATTGAAGCTAGATCTCAGAATATATATATTCTGAGAGCTAGATAGATAAATGACAGATATATAGATAGATAGATAGATTGATAGCTAGATAAATAGTTTGATAGCTAGATAAATAGATTGATAGCCAGATAAATAGATTGATAGCTAGATAAATAAATTAATAGCTAGATAGATATATTGATAGCTAGATACATAGATTGATAGTTAGATAGATTTATATTTAGATAAATAGATAGATAGAATGATAGATAGATTGATAGGTTGATAGCTAGATAAAGAGATAGATATAGATAGATAGATTAATAGGTTGATAGTTAGATAGAGAGATAAATATATAGATAGATAGATTTATATGTTGATAGCTAGATAGAGAGATAGATATAGAACGATAGATAAATAGGTTGATAGCTAGATAGAAAGATAGATATAGATAGATAGATAAATAGGTTGATAGCTAGATAGAGAGATAGATATAGATAGGTAGATTAATAGGTTGATAGCTAGATAAAGAGATAGATATAGATAGATAGATTAATATGTTGATAGCTAGATAGAGAGATAGATATAGATAGATAGATTAATATGTTGATAGCTAGATAGAGAGATAGATATTGTATTAAAATATTATTGTGATATATTTCCTCATGTTTTATGTATATTTATAGTTTGTAAGATTTGAAAGTTTACGCGCACTGCACAGTGCGCAGGCAGAAATGCATAGTTAGCTAGGCCAGTAGGAGTTAAAAAGTTAGAATGGAAACATCAGGCATTTTATTTGGATTTAAAGAAAAGTTAATCAAAAGTAAACATTCAAAGAAAATTGATTTATCAAATTTGTTTATTTGTTTATCCAAAATGAATGTAGATAGATAGATTAAAAGGTTGATAGTTAGATAGAGAGATAGATATAGATAGATAGATTAATAGGTTGATAGCTAGATAGAGAGATAGATATAGATATATAGATTAATAGGTTGATAGCTAGATAGAGAGATAGATATAGATAGATAGATTAATAGCTAGATAGCTAGATAGAGAGATAGATATAGATAGATAGATTAATAGGTTGATAGCTAGATAGAGAGATAGATAAAGATAGATAGATTAATAGGTTGATAGCTAGATAGATAAAGATAGATAGATTAATAGGTTGATAGCTAGATAGAGAGATAGATTAATACAACGAAATTTAGATGTTTTCTTGCAAAACTTTAATACAGCAACATTTTCACAATATACAATTTACATCATAATCCAAATATATTTGAAATCTTATAATTTTGAAATATATTGAATATATTGAATATATTGAATATATTGAATATATTGAATATATTGAATATATTGAATATATTGAATATATTGAATATATTGAATATATTGAATAAAATGTACAATGAACATGAAATATAGTGTACATATTTAATTCACTGCAGAGTTGGAAATTTAAGATTTAATCGATGAACGAAACTCCCGAGTTTCCTACAACAATGCTAAAATTCCTATCTCCGAATCTGAATTAAACATTATTTCGAAGTATTTTTCTTAAGATTTCGATTAATAACCTTGGGTTTATTTTCCTGTTTCAATCAGAATATTTTTTGTCATTTTTTTTATCTCATATAGAAAATTATTAATTATTGAATTTATTTTTGTAATTAACTTTGAAATACAAAAACTGTTGACTGCAGAGGATTTAATATTTTATGGATATCAACCTGACTCCTATTCACGTCTGGTTTACCCAAAACAGACGGGGTAGGGTGCAGGGGGTCTAATTCCTTATTGTGATACAAATTTATTAAATATTAAATATTTATTGCAAAATTAAGTTTTTTAGCGAAAAATGTGCAAAAACAAAAAGTGCGCTAAACTATACATTTTTAGAAACTAAAAACTAAAATTTAGGAAATTTTCTTTTAAGGCATCTGTAAAAATATCTACGCAAAATTTCTTTGCAAAAATTGTACAATCTGCTTTCTCATGTTCTAGGCTTTCCAACGAGCTATAAAATGTTGAAATCCAATGACTGGAAGTAGGTCTAAACTTAGATTTAGTCTGGTAAAGGTAAAATAAGGCATTTAGGCAGTACGTATACCTGAAGACTCAGGCAGTGGTATAAAAGCTCAGATTTCAGCCTAAAGTGTTAGAAAAGGCAAAAAATTTAACAGCCTCAGACCAAGATAAGGCAAAAACGATATTGGGAGGGTCATAATGACCCCCGTCAGTCAGTATAGGGTTGAAGAATTAGAAGTCGTCTTTGTAACTTGCAAGCAGTGACTCTCTCTATACACTATAATCTTAATATTAAAAAGAGGTTTAGTTGTTTATTTATTTATATAAAGTGCAATCCCATATGAGCCAGATAAAACTAGTTTACATTTGTATCTAAGCTTTATACCATGTTTTATTAAAATTTAACATTATTTCTTTCTTCTTATTATTCCTACCATACTTTCTGATTCCCTTTACAACTCACTATTTACATCATTCAATTATCTCCTATCTAGCAATTGTTTTTATCAAGTGTTATTATTTACTTTTGTAGATATTTATTTTTTGTTTAGCTCGAACTGTAACCCAGGGCCTTGCTATTTTTCTGGAGTATTTTTATTCGGAAATATTTTTCCGCAGTAAAAGAAGGTTTTAAAATTGAATTGTTTCTGAACTGCTGCCAACCATGAAACTGTGTCCGTGCAATTCTAATAATTAAAAAAAAACTTTAAAAACACAATTCAATCAGAAAGGGAAAAAATCTTTGCAGATAGAGGGATCAATCATTGCTCCTCAAATTTAACAGTGCCCACATCGGATATCAAGATTCAGCGCGTTCAAGATAAGCAATGTTGACACAGAAGTTGCCTTATATAATAAAAAGAAAGAGAGAAGACAACACCATCTAGTAGTTTTCAATTTCATTTTTGAATTGCATCAATTTGTTTATTGAAATCCTGTAAAAGGCAGAATTAGAGATTGCATAGAATAAACTGTTAAAGTTTAACTTGTTAATTTGTTCATTAATTATTTGTTAACCGGCCCTGAATAGAGCCAGTCAAAGGAAACGAGGAGAGGAAGGGAAGGAGAGGAAGAACCTCAATAATCCTGATTCCGTGCCACATTTAAATTAAACTCTTTTCCGAGCCACTTCATGTAATATAAATACTTTTTATGAAAATAAAGGCAGTAGTCATTCAAATGTTTGATTTAAATCATTATAACTGATCAATTGAAGATTTGTCAAGCCCATTAACAATTTATAGGAAGATAGGAAGACTGATATTTTGTGATTGAAAGCTAAAGCTACAGTCACGAATTTTTATGATTATTTATTTTTTTTTATTATTTTTATACACTGAATCTAAAGTATGCATGGTCACGCAAAAGTTGAGAAGAATTTTGCCAATTACTTCTGAATAACTAAAACTAAAACAAGTGCATTAGAGTTCTAAAATCTACATATCTAGGGATAAACAAATTATAACAAGTGCATTAGAGTTCTAAAATCTACATATCTAGGGATAAACAAATTATAACAAGTGCATTAGAGTTCTAAAATCTACATATCTAGGGATAAACAAATTATAAGTGTATTTTGTAAGGTAAAATTGAAGGCCAAGGTGTTGCGACCCAATCTTGAAAATTGATGCAGTTTTTCGTAACTGTCTGGATCTATGGGCCGACTTGTTTAAAGTTGCTTTAAGGTATATCTTTAGAAATCGGTGTTTGGTTATCTATATATAAATTTGGCTTGTCTGTCTGGGTGTCTGTTTGTCTGTCTGTTTGTTTGTTTGTATCAAATAAACGTCAAAACGGCTGAACCGATCGGGCCCAAATTTTTTGTGGGACATCTNATTTTAATTTTGTAAAAAAAAATTAATTCTTGAAAATCCGCGAATTTTTTTTTAAAATCCGCAAAATTTTTTTCTTCTTTGTTTTTAAATGTAAACAAAAGAACATGTTCACAATTTAAATAGAAGATGGGCGCGAAGCGCCCTAAAAGCCTAGTAGTAATAAAAATGATTTAATGTTTAACAGTAATCAAATGTGTAGTAAATTTATATAACTGATCTAAGGGAAAAGATGAAGCCTTATTTATTAATTATTAGCATGTTCTATATTTAAACTGTACAGTGTGCACATGAAAGTCATTATTATCGATTTCCGTTCTTATTCTTATCCTTATATTTACTTATTTTCTTCAAAAAAAGGATACAAAAATATGATTATTACAGAAAAATGATAAATTTGCTAATTCTAACAATTTATTTAGTTTGTTTATTAGACATTTTTTTGTTTTTAGGGACTTCATGTTAAAGAGATAGAGCATAAAAATGCTTACTTCTAAATTCATAAAAGCTTTTTAATATACAAATGTTATGGTGTTGGCCGGATCTTTACCATTTTTCTCCATTATTTTTGAAATTTTTGAGAATTTTTGACATTTATCCAATCTATTTCTGAATTAAATATTGATTTAATTAAATGATTAAATATTGAGGATATTGATTTTTGATGAGGTATTAGAGACGACTGGACACAGTTTACAAGACTTTTAT